GCATTCATTTACCCAGTGGATAAAGGTGTGGGTTCATCTGCAATCGGAGATTGTTTGCCGATTTTGCCAGATCTTTAACCCCAATGCCAAGAATAACGTATAAGCCTTGAACTTATGAAACCTATGGTCGTCGACAAACATTTCTCTAGCATATATAGTTTATAATATAAAATGTAGAAGTTTAAAGTCATACATAAATGCAAACGAGAGAAAGTTTTCCATATTAAACATTTGTTTCTTGTCTTTTACTCTTTTATGGTGTGTATTTGAATTAAGATTTGATTATAATATATTATAATTTAATATAATATAATTTAATATATATTCTTTAATATATATTCCGCAAATGTTTGCCGATTTTGCCAGATCTTTAACCCCAATGCCAAGAATAACGTATAAGCCTTGAACTTATAAAAGCTAAGGTCGTCGACAAACATTTCTCTAGCATATATAGTTTATAATATAAAATGTAGAAGTTTAAAGTCAAACAAACATACAAACAAGAGAAGGTTTTCCATCTTAAACATTTGTTTCTAGCCGTAATACTCTTTTATGAGGTGTATTTGAATTTGATTATAATATATTAATATTATATATTATAATTTAAAATATATTCTTTAAAAGTATTATTATAACCTTTAATCTTATCTTACTTTTTATATTTAGAATGAATTGATTAGAGCCAGAATACGTTTCTTTAAAAAAAAACCCGTTTTCAGACATACATGTTTTAAAGACGAAATTCTTCCATTAATTTTTCGGCCTTATTTTTTTCTGGCCAGGCCCCACGGCGATCGTCTGGCCTGGGTAACTGCCGAAATTAAGATCCTGTCAGGATCGCAGGCTGCATCCGCATCCGATAAATGCGCTTGTGAAGAAAATCAGAGCCTGGGGCCTCGTAAATCAGGCTGCCAAATGTCATTCGGCGACTTGACATGCTGCATAACAAGTTTCTCCGTTTTTTTCCTCGGGTTTTTGGCTAAAAAACTGAGCTGCATTATTTCGAATCTCTGTTTTTTTTGCGGCTGCTTCGTTTGGTTGTTTTTTTTTCGTTAGCTGCCTGTCAAATTACTTGAGGGCGCCGCAATGTCGGAGAATTATTTGTGGGTACGAGGACGAAAAGGATGCAACTGCAGACACAAGACACGAGGGCCGAAGGATCTGCAGTGCAGACAAATTTTTGTTCTCCTCTTTTTCGGGTGGATAAACCCTTTTTTTTACCGGGGTCCGAGAAACCCTGTGAGAAATGCAAATTTGGACGGTGAAAAAAAAGGGAAATTTGTTAGGGAATAGGAGTGGAAAAAAGCGCTGCACTAATTTGATTTTTAGGAAATGCAGTCTTGAGAAGGGTGCTGCCCACCCCCAGAGTTTTTTGCTCCTGGCAACAGCAGCACTCAGTCGAAGGACCTCAAAGGACCTCGAAGCAGTGGCTGGCATTTTTTGGTCATTTATCAAATTTCAAGCAAAATCAGATCAGTGACTCAGTGTGTGTGTCTGTGTGAAGTGAATATCAAAACAAAGCAAGGACATCGGAGTCGTTTTCTTGCTCTCTTGCGGCAAAGTCCTTTTTCGGGGCGCGTCTTGTCGGCCTGTCAATCAAAAGTCCTCTTCGATTTTTCCCAGCTCCCATATCTGTCTCTCTCTCTCTCTGTCTCTTTTCCCATCCCTCTCTTTCTGGATTTTTCGACTTTCCCACATTTGCATTTTCCTTGTGCAACTTTGGCATGCAAATTTCTCGCAAATCCCCGAAATCCGCAATATTTATCGCTTACATGCCGAAATCAAGTTTCGCACAAATTAGGCAAATTTCGGGCCACCCATATATGTCAAGGGGTTTAGGTTTGTGTCAACCCAAAAGGCTAATGCATTCGCAATTAGTTTGCCAAACCCTCGACTCGATCGGGATTCAAATTGAATTTATAATCGATTTAGATCATTTTTGCAAAACTGCGAACACACAAATGGCAAATCCACCCCGAGTTCCCCGGACGTAACCCTTCCATCAACCAAAATGATGTCTGTTGTTGTAGCTAATTTCGATTCTAATGAAGCGCGAATTACGAAAACATGGAAATCATATCAATTACAGAGACAAGGATCAGCCTCAAAATCTGCCCTCGAATCTCAGCCAGCGGCCATGAAAAGCGCAAACATGGTTGAGTTTTTCAGTGGCTAGGGGAAAGTCCTTTAGGAGGACTTTTATGTTTTCTTTAATAAAAAAATGTTGGGCTAAATAAATTGGCAAAAAATTCTTAAGCATTAGCACATTTTTACATATACAGGTTAGATTCTAAAGTCATTCAATCTTTAATCGTTCTTATTTATTCTAAAACATTTAAAACATTAAAAACATTTACTTAATCTTACATTTTTATACCCTTGCAGAGGGTATTATAATTTCAGTCAAAAGTTTGCAACGCAGTGAAGGAGACATTTCCGACCCTATAAAGTATATATATTCTTGATCAGCATCACCAGGAGAGTCGATCTAGCCATGTCCGTCTGTCCGTCCGTCTGTCCGTCCGTTTCTACGCAAACTAGTCCCTCAGTTTTCAAGCTATCTGCTCGAAACTTTCCCAAAAGTTGTCTTTCTATTGCAGGTAGTATATAAGTCGGAACGAGCCAGATCGGGCGACTATATCATATAGCTGCCATATAACTGAACGATCGGAAAAGCCATAACTTTGGTGTTTTTAAAGATAAGAAAATGGGACTTTCTATGGGTTTTATTTTTGGCCAATCAATCCGACATACCGAATTTCATAAGGATCGGCCGACTATATCTTATAGCTGCCATATAACTGATTGATCGGAAGTGCCATAACTTTGGTTTTTGTAAAGTTAAGAAGTTGGGATTTTCTATGGGTTTTATTTTTGGCCAATCAATCCGACATACAAAATTTCATAAGGATCGGCCGACTATATCTTATAGCTGCCATATAACTGAACGATTGGAAATGCCATAACTTTGGTGTTTTTAAAGTTAGGAAGTTGGGATTTTTTATGAGTATTAAGAATGCATCATATGAATAATTTTGGAGAATATAATTTACAGAGTATTCTGCAAGGGTATATCAACTTCGGCTCCGCCCGAAGTTAGCTTTCCTTTCTTGTTTAACAGAGATTTTGTTGAATAATAAGTTTTATATTTACATTTATTTAAATTGAAATCTTGCATTATGTTAATTGCATTTATTTATTTAAATAAAATAACAATCAAATGAGGAAGCTCGATTCCCGCCTCATCAACTTTGAAACTCTTTTCAAAACAACCGCGAACCTTGAACCCATCAAGGACACAAGGACCTCGTTTGATGGCTCATTAAATATTCCTCTAGCCAACCTCCAAGGAGTCAAGAACTTTGCATCTATAGTCAGCTGAAAAACCGTCGAGTGTCGATACAATGACATAACAGATCCACAGCTGTCCGACTTTTGACTGAAGAAGGAATTGAAGAGCTCGAGCCGTCTCAGCGGGATTGGGCAACCGTATTCTCAAGTACTCTCAACCGAAGTTTCGGGGAAACGAGGTTTTCCACGAAAAACCCGACCAACCAACCAAACTCCCCCGCAATCCTCGATCCTCAAGGAGTACGCAATGAGAATTGCATTGCCATTATGATCATATTGAATACTCTTTCGGGTCGAAAAGTTGACGGCGAGCTCGTAAAATGACAAGATCGACAGCGGACGTCACATAAACATGGCCAACCGGCTGCTAATGTAGGGCACGAGTCCTGCAAGGATTCGAGGATGCCAGGAACCGGGCATCTGGGCAAATATTTACCGAAGCTTCGGCTCGTAAATTGCCGCCTACACACAATGGCATTTTGGGACCAAGTACAAATCAAAGTGAAAGTAATGACCGATATCCCTGGACAGAGACATTAGGCTACTGTTTTTGTAGTCCCGAATATCTTGGCTCCTGCTCCTGTTCCTGTTTCTATCCTGCTCCTGCTGCTGCTCCCGCTCCTGCCGTTTTCCTTGGCAATTGTTCTGCATTTTGGACAACGAACGAGACAAATCTGGGCTAAGACACCTTGCAACGTCGCCGTGTGGGTTTCCTTTCTTTTCCCACTTTTTTTTTACAGTTCCTCGCCAGCTGTCCGTAGACCAGATCATTGTTCAGGATATGGGCAGAGGCAAAAAGCAAAGTCTGGCCAAACAAAAAGGACACATTGGACGGGGATTTACCTGCTTAGCAGAGCGACTCTATTCTTTCACCGGAAGAGAGAGGAGAGAGTAGGGATGCGAAGAGAGGGGTTCAACAGGAGGTTTTCCTGGTTTTCAGTGAATGCTCTTCGTTTTCACCAATCGCCCTCTGGCGGACGGTGGCTGAAACTCAGATCAGCTGAGGTCCTGATTTTGCAAGACACGGGAGAAATACCCTTTTATTTAGTCTCTTATTTGTGTCCTGCTTCAGTTATCACAATAATTATGAAATAGGGATTGTAAACATTACCAAATATGAAATTGCACTGGATATCTTATCTATATTTTCGAGAATAATAAACATGTATCACCTCATCATGACAGTCTGTTTTATGACTAGTTTCAATGGTGACTGACTGTTCTTGAAATCCTTCCCTAAATCATAGTCTTTCAGCACCCCTTTATGATACGAGATAACTTTCCCACCGAATCCCCACATGGCTCCTACATTTACACTATATGAGTTTGTTTTCGACACATACTATATATGATATAAGATAGATATTGATACAATCATAGCTTCTTATATTCCTTATCTAATCTCTGGTATTATTTTTATTTAGAATTTTCCCACAGCTGAGATTCCGTTAGACCGAATCGGAGCCAAAGAGAGCCTTAAACCACTTTCTCGCCCACTACTCTCTTTGCAGTGCTCTCTGGTGGTTGGTTTTCAACTTCGTTCGCCTTCGTGAGGACCTCGTTTTCCCTCGTGTGGCTTCGGCCTTCCAACCGAGCCTTTGCCGAAACGTGCGCCTGCGCAGATCATCATTTCCGTTTCTGACCTCGTGCCAAGCAGACACGTTGACTGCGAGCTAAGAAATTACACAAAACACTTTTGGCTTTAAGTACATATTTGGCTTATTTTTTTTTTCGTGCAAGAACTCTATCAAAATTTTGTGCGCAACATTCTTGTAAATATACTATACTCAGTTCAAATCAGTGCAGTAAATCAAGTTGAAACTATTGTATAAATCGAGCTGCAGTTATCCAGGCGACCTAGTCGCAAACAGATCAAGTTACCAGGTAAGTCTACACCCAACAAGTCATACAATCTGTGCCAAGGAAATGATCGATCCGATCTGATCCGTCCATTTAGATCGATCGATAGATCGCTCGATAAGCTCGGTTTCCGAAACGGCGGCACACCTGGAAGGGAAAAACAATTACGATCGCACCCATGAGGTAGTCGTGTTTGTCTTTGCTCTAGCTCTAATTTTAATTTACACAAAAAAAAAAACGAAGAAGGGACGTAAGTCCCTTACCCCTGGAGACAGAGAGATCAAGATCCAGATCTCGGGGCCCACAAGAAAAAAGGGGTGGTGCGTCTAATACATTTAATTTGTTGCTGTGTTTTTTTTCCCTCAACTTCTATTTTTTTTCCTACCACCCCGAGCTAATCCTCCGGGCACAAGTCACACACACACACGCACATCGTGCAAAGGATCTTGGGCTGGAAAGAAAATATTTTTTTTGCTCGCCTTTACCGGCTGCCTTTCCTCGTGCAATTTCGCCCGGCTTTTCATCTTATTCTGGGGCTGGGGTGACGTTTATGGATTACACGAAAACCCATTTTCCATCTCACTCTCTGCGAGAGACAATGGCCAGGATCTCTGGGACGATCCTTTGAGGCCCCTTTTGGCTTTGGCTTTGGCATTGCCTTTGCCGATTGCCGCATTTTTGCAAAATGGCATCATTACGCTGGGGCGTAATTGTTGCACGCACACACACACACGCATAGTTGAAAAGGATCACAGACCATAGAGCATCCTCGAAAGGACTCCTTTGGGCAGAAGGACCCGCTCAATTTTATGGTTGGCAACCGCAGCACAGAAATCTGTTAGGGAAATTAGCATAAGTTTAATTTCAATTTAAATGCAAACCTGAAATTCGCAAGGACAGCGGCGAAGGAAGGACCTGGCGTAGAACTCGTTTGCCGCAAAAACAATTTGCAAGCTTCCTGCTTTGTCCTGCACTTTGTTTGCTGTTTGCCAGTTCGCCTCCTTCATTTGTTGCCGTTGTTTTTTCTGCCTCGAAATTGTCTGGAAGAGTTCCCAAAAACCGAAGGACAGCAGAAGAGTGGGAAAGAACGAAACCAGATCGGAACCCGTCGCTCTGATCCCCTTGTTTGGCAGCCAGCTGCCAAGGACTAAGAACCAAGGACCAAGGACCGAGGTTTTAACCGAGCAGACATGATTTGCCAACAAGATCCGGAAAATCATCCAGAAAATTCTATTCTATATCCGTACATAGCAATGACTAACAGAAGTTTTAAGAAATATCTCACGATAAAAGAAAGCAAGCTAGAAAGTAGTAATCTGTGATATGTTACAATTCACATATATAAAGATTACTTGTTTTCATTGGCCAATTTTATACAAATTTCTAAGTTTTAATTCCCAATGTTAAATTAGAATATCATATATAATGTTTGCCTTTGTAATTATCTTTCGTCTGGCAGAAAAATTATGTTCTTATTTAATCTAGAATATTTAGATATAGCACAGCATCGATATTCTGTTTTCCTACGCTTTTAAAAAGTATTTCACGAGCTTGGAAATTTTTCCCGAAAGACTTCCCTTTCCCTACAATTCAACCAATGTACGAGTTTTATGACGTTGTATGAAAATTCTGATTTGACTTTTAAAATAACACAGAATATTCTGAAAGTTTACACAGGATAAAAAAGAGTGTTTAAAATATCCTTTAAAGAATTCCAATGAATATCCCAATTAGCCGAAGTGTTTTCCCCTTTCTTACCAAAATCCGAATTGATTAAGCCATGTCTTCCCACATTAACCAGGTTCTTTCGCCCTCTTTTTTTGTCTTTTAGGACATGCCAACCATGACACGGATGCATCGCCACTCCAGTTCCAGTGCCGTGGTGGAGGAGTCGCGTGGGCGGCGGCGGGGGGAGTGGGCGTACCAGGGGCAGGGGAGGCCAACAAGGAGAACTTCGGGGTGCACTTCATGAGCAGTCCCTTCGGCAATGCCAGCCTGATTGCCCTGCAGGACCTGAGCAATGTGCACGGGAAGAGTCCGCAGCGCAGGAGCTTCAGCGAGGGCAGTGGTCCCCGCCAGGCCACGCCCCAATTGGCGGCTCTGCGCTGCTTGCCCCGCACCACCGGCGGCGGTGGTGGTGCAGTGGGTGGTGCGGTCGGCGGCCTCGAAGACTCACAGCTGTCGTCGTCGCGAATGGGGGACACCACGCTGGACCGCATGCTGGACGCCATAATCGAATCGGCCAGGAAGGAAGTGAGGTGTGCGAAGCCACTGGGAACCGCTGGTGGCGCCACTGCACCATCCACCATTCTGGCGGATAACGGCGAGTGGAGCGAGACCAGTGTGCACGAGATGGAGGTGCGCACTCCCACCCACTTGAAGAGGCAGCGGGTGGTGCGGCGCAAGAACCCGCACAAGACCCACCAGGCCACCACCCAAACGCAGAGCCACCAGACCAAGAAGATGGAGCAACTGCAGCTGGTGCCCAGCACCAAACGCTGCCTGAGCTTCTCATCCAGCTCGGCATCGAGTGATTTGGATGAGGATGAGCAGCAGGTGGCCAAGAGGAGTTCGCTCGCCTCCTCCTCCTCCTCCTCCTCGGCCACGCCCCCCTCCCACAGCACCACCAGCAACAGTAGCAACAGCAACAGCAACAGTGGGGCTGATTTGGAGGCAAGCCAGCGGGGCAGCATCGATGTCAGCATTTCGTACGATGCCAAGGAGCAGCAACTAAATGTACATGGTGAGTTCCAGGGGCCCACCCAGAATCCCAACTCGTTCTGTTTCAATATCGTTTAGAAATTCAGTTTTTGGTGACTCTAACTAGTATCGCTATACATTAACTAATGTTCAAGAAAGCACTCCTGAACATAATGAAAAATGTTGATTATCCTCAAAGGTCTTTTTGCATAAAAAAAGAGTACATACCCGCCACATTTCAAATACCCAACTAGGTATATTATTTGCTTTTTACTATCCTCTCAGTACCTCAATAGAATTTAATATTGCCAATGAATTTAATTTAGTTTCCCAGAGTAAACCATGAAAATAGAAATGCTAGCCAAGGGCTAAATATATACCCAGCAAAGGCAACTCAATTACGTTAGATGGGATTATCAGGGAAGTGGAGTGCCCCTCATTCTGGGCGGCAAACTCAAGAGATTCATTGCCCAACTCACCTGCTAATTGCTCCTGTTTTCTCCGTTGCAGTGATTCGCTGTCGGGACTTGCAGCGTTCCCATGGCAGTGGCAATGGCAGCATAAATGCCTACGTCAAGGTGGCTCTGTCCGGCGGACCCCACCACCAGCCACAACCCGGATGCGGAGCACACTCGTCCGGGGGCAGCATGAACTCCGGATACCAACGCACCGCCGTCCATCGGCACTCGGGTCGTCCGTACTTCGATCAGCGGTTCAGCTTCCCGATTTCCAGTGGCGAGGAGACCAATGGCCAGCATCTACAGTTGGCCGTGTGGCATCGGGATCGCCATTTAAAGTGAGTACGAGTACGGTCGAAAGCCAAGAAAACAACAAGAAAGTAACCCCTAAAAGTGAAGGAGTGCACGTTAAAAATTTAGTTGTTATTATTCAGGGATGTCTAGAATTTTATATTAATTCCATTTATTATAAATGGTATTATTGGAAATATATCCAAAGTTGTTAAAAATAACAATTCAAAGAAACTTTTCAATATAATTCCTATTATTATTCAACACCAAAAACATTTGCAGTTAAACGTAATATAAATTTGCTAATATCCGATATATAAATAGGTAGTTTTCCAAATTAAAATAGTATTAATAATTAATAATAATTATACAAGGAAACAGTGCTTGATTGCCATAAAATATGACCAGATTGACCCCCATCCGATATCCGTATTTTTGCGCGTGCCATCATCGTTCGCCGTTCTTCGTCCTGTTCCAAGTCATTCACCCCTAAACGTTTATCGGTGGGAGTTCTGGAAGGGAATGGACTAGGGGTGGGGGTGTTGAGTGAGAAGGGGGAGGGGGTCCTACTCCACAGACAGGCAAAAGACCAAGTCTGGTTAATTGTGGCGCTCTTCCTGGCCTCGTGGCGTCTCCAGCGCCTTTCACATTTCGCCTTTCGCATGCCTAGTGCATTTCCTGCACATAAACAAGCGCTCGGCCCTTTTCCCCGGACTTTCCAGTATTCCAGCGCGGGCGCACTGGATCGGGGACGCTCTTCCAGCGACTTTCCCGGGCTGACCTGCGCTGCTCTGTGTTTGCTCGACGTTTTCCCAGCTCAGTTCCCGTTACTTAGTCCGAGTGGCAAGCTCGCGTGAAAGGCGACGAATAACGGCGAACGGCAGAACGGCTGGCAACGCTCGAAAACGCAGGAAATCGAGGCAAAGTAAGCCTAAAACGAATTTATGTCCTGCGGTCCTCAAAAAAAGGCTTTAATATCGCACTTTTTTTGTTTACCTTTTTTGAGAAGTGTCCTTAACGTAGTGTTAATTTCTAGTGCCCAAAAAAGTATGCAACGAAATCTTATATAACTGTGTATGTGTGTTCTCACATGGAAAGTGTAGCATAATTTCGGGCATGCTGCTAAACAAATTGCGAACAGGAAGTGGAAGTCCTGCGTGTGCGAGTGTGTGTGCGTGTGTGTGTGCGAGTGCGTGCTCATGGGTATCTGTGTAAGGGCTTTTCGCACCATGCTTCAAAGTTAATTAAAATTCAAGGACATTCAGGAGTGTGGTACTTGGGAAATAATAAAGAAAAGTGGTCAAGTCCTAAGTTTAATGCCAAATCGATGCGAGTGGTTAAGGCGATTATGCAATAATCACCAGCTCACGCACACACACGCCCCCTTCCCTCCTTCTTCCCTTTCTTTTTTTTTGCCTTTTTTTTGTACTGTCAGCAGCTAATTGAAGTGGCCAACTAACTAAATGTACACCCGGGAACCATATCACCTATTCCATTTTCCTGCCTCACACGCACCTGCCTTTATTTGCTGGCCATGCATAATTTACCATCCACCTGAGTTGTGAAAATAGTCTAGGCCAAAAAGGAACGTTTTAAGTCAATTTACAAAACGACTGGCGGCTGAATAATTTATGGCCAGCTTTTCGGCACAAGGTAGAGGTGGTGCAAGTTCGAAAACCCCACATTTTTAATGCACCTCCCAACTGACAGCTGCGATTGCAATCGCCCCAAAAAAATAAAACAGCAGAGAAACAACAAAAAATATATGGAAACCCCCGGACTCCGCACGGAAAATCAATAAAAGTGACCCAAATACGCGCGCCAACTTCAGCTAAAGTGGCCAGTGGAAGAAGCAGCAGACAGAGCCTCAAGCCACTGTCATACCACCCACTTGCCACCCACTCTGCCACCCACTGTGCCACCCAACCACCCAACAAATTGGCCGGGCCAAGCGCATTTCCGGGCCACATGTACGGTTATACGTACTTTGTGGCATGTGGAAATGTGGAATGTGGCAGCAGCTTAGGGCCGCTAATTGATTTATGTCACGTACGACCAGGAAAACTGGGTGCCACGGATTGGATCAGCTGTGGGCGAGCCACCTTCAGTCGCCCATAAATAGACAATGTCCAACAGACGTTGCAACGTGACGCAAACTGACCGAAATCGGCATTAGTATTATCTAAAGGCAATTGCGAGGAGCCAAGGATTTCGGCGGACAAGCAGCTCGTATATATTTAATGGCCATATTAGTTTTCTCAGTTTGTCGAATGCCTTCAACTATCCATTTGATCCAATCATCCGCTATCAAATATTCAGGGGACTTCTGGAAACCTCGAAAAGTTTTCAAAAAGGAGGCGGAATTCAATTGAATGTTAAGGCCTGGTGTAATAAACGATTTTCTAACTTTCCTTCGCAATATGACTCTAAATTACCAAAAATCATTAAAAGTGTTAGGTATTTAGAGTTGTAGCTTGATTATTATCATTTTACAATTATGCGCTAACATCGTTTATATTTTGTAATTTAGCAAGCAAGAACTTTCGTCAATCAACTAAAGACATTTAAATATAATATTAAAAGGCTGAGATAGTCTACATAAACATTCAGATAATCTCAGATAATGCCTAGGTATTTTAAGTATATTTTACACTAACAAGGTTAGGAATTCGTAATTATTTTGATGTTTTTCTTGAGTACAACCGGAGCTAACTTATTTGTTTTCTATTATCTTACAGACGCAGCGAGTTCCTGGGCTGCAGCAGTTTTCCACTGACTGAGTTAGTGCATCCTGAGGCGGGAATTACCGCAGGATCCTACAAATTGCAGGCGCAGGCATGTCCTCCGCCTAATCATCGCCAGAGTCAACCCAAAGCCAACGCGGGCAAGGATCGGAAGCAGGAAGTGGAAGAGGAACCGGAAGCGGAAGCGAACAGGGATCAGGATCACCAAGAGTACTTCCCCGCAGAAATGGCAGCCGCCACCACAGTCACGCCTCAAAAACCCGTAGCCACTGGATCCGGATCGGGATCGATTTCGGCAGCTATGCCACTAAACGACGAGGTGATCAGCATCAGCATTGACAGCATGGGCAAGGAGGATCCCCTGCTGCCCCAGCAGCCCCAACAGCCCATGAAGCTGAGCAAGAAGGCACTCCACCAGCGAGATGCCGACGAGAATCTCTTTCTGAGGTTCCTGGAACTGGATCCCCCGGCGGATGGGAATGCGAACAGTACAACCCAGCCACCGACGACGGGCTCCCAATCTTCGGCATCGAAAGCCAACGAGAGCAATGCCAATCACCTGAACGGATCCACCGGCCGAAGACAGTCCACCATGCCCCCAAGTGGGGGATCCAGCGGAGGTGGAGGAGGAGGAGGAGGAGCAACCCGGCAGCAGCCAGGACGAACTCCCTTCACGATGACCAAAAGACTAACGCGAACCGAGGAGCGGGGCTTTGGATTCTCCATTGTGTGGACCCATCCGCCGCGCGTGGAGAAAATCGAGGCGGGACTCTCGGCCGATCGGTGCGGCATCCTGCCCGGCGACTATGTGATCTTTGTGGACAAACACAATGTGGTCACGATGCCCGAGGCTGATGTTCTGAATTTGATACGATCGCAGGGCTCGTCCTTGACGTTGGAGATTTTCAGAAGGTCAGGCGCGGGCGCCACAACAATCACGACGGACCTGGGCCACCAGAACAATGCCAATATGAGCGCCAGCAGATTGGGCATGGGCGTGGGCATGGGAGTGGGCGTGGCGGTGGGATTGGGCAGCGAGGAGCACACGCTGGCCACCACCACCACCGCAACCACCACCGTGATGAGTCTGCAGAGGACGCAGAGCTCGAGGATGCAGCCGGTGGGCAATAGCTTGAGCCGACCGGCCACCGCCTGCTCGGGCACCACTTCCTCCATCGAGGCGGCCAAGAGGAGACTCCACCTGCCGCAGGTCACCTTCAGCAAGGAGGTAGGCAAGGGTGTCTTCGTCTAAGGATCACTTATATATTATTTTATTTTTTTCATTTTTCGTGTCTTTGTGTACATACTTATTTGTTAAGTTTTAATATCTAAGCTAACGCCATGCTGGTTATCATTACTATAATCTAATTATTTGCCCTTTTTTTTGCCTAGCCGAGGCCTCTAATTTGTTTGAGAGTCCTTAAGCTCCCTGCGACCCCACAACGCTTGACAATAAACTTTTTTTTCGATCCCAAGCTTTTGAGTTTTTCATTTTTTATTGGTTTTACACAACATTGGCTTTGCAAACACCATATTTTCTATACATGGGTTTTAGCTAAGCCTTTTTTTGACCCTCAACCTATAATGCATTTCTTTGTTCTGCTTTATGTATTTCAAAACGTCTTTATATGTAATTTTTATGTAGAAAGTTAAAAAACAAACGTTTTATTTTTCTTGTGATTTAAAAAATAAATACATTTGTCTTTTAAAAATGTATAAAACAGCTTAAAACCACTTAATTTCAAAGAGAACCCCTTTTCATTGCATTTTTTGAAGCTTCTAAATGAGGCACATCAATTTTATTAATTTTTAGTTCTGCTAAATTTTGTAACAACATGGTCCTTCTACTGAACTATGCCCTCCGGAATTCAATGAATTTTGTTGTATTTTTAAGACCAATAATCTTTTACCTCTCTCAATGCCAACAGTCGATTGTGCCCATTACGGACAACCGTCGGCGCTTCCTGCTGCAGTTGATTAGCCGGGAACAAAACTTCACGGCTGCCCTGCACTTCGGAGTGGATCGATTTGTCCAGCCGCTGGTGGAGAGAAAGGACCTGATCTCCCCAAACGATCACCGCACCTTGTTCCAGAACATCGACGAGCTGCTGAGGATTGCGGAGGACATCCTGGAGCAACTGTGCAGCAGTGATCAGCAGGATCAGGAGCCGCACATGAACTTCGCCTCGCGCGTTTACCTTTCGAAAACTACAGCCATTTGTGCGGCGTACAAGAAGTACTGCAATGGAATCAAACGGGCAGATTGCGTTTTGGTCAACAAATCCCGGCAGACGGGGTCAGAGTTCATTGCTTTCATTACGGAACCGGCAGTTCCGCGTAAGAGGCCAGATCTCACCATGTTCATCCATCGACCACTGCAACATTTCCGCGAGATCCTCAAGCTGATGCAGTTGCTCGCCGGGAATTGCCATGTGGACACCGAGGAGCACAAGAACTTTAGCACGGTCATCAACGAGCTGCAGGCCGCCTATCGGGAGATCACCGTGAGCAGTGGCCTGATGGAGCCGCTGGGCGAAGGTCGTCCCCTGTTAACCCTCCAGGATCTGGAGTCGCGAATGGTCTTCACCAAATGCAAGCCCTTCACCCTGGCCGTTCAAGGTCGCCAGTGGATCTTCGGTGGTGACCTGTCCCGGGTCGAGGGACGCTCGGTGAAACCCTATTGGACCCTGCTCTTCAGTGATATCATAGTATTCGCGAAGGTCAGTCGGGATCGAGTCCTGTTCATCACGGAGGAGCCCATTCCCATCGCCAATGTGGTGGACTCTTGTTTCCACATGCGCAAGAAAAGTGAGTGGCAGTTCTGATTTGTACCCTTCCCGACTTGATTTCGTGCTTATCCCTCTTAGCCACCGAGTTCCGTCTGACAGTGGATCCTAATGGGCGTCTGGCGGAGAGTCCCACGGGTTACTGTGCCCCCGATCTCACCCGCACTCCGAAAAGAGGAGCCCGTCGCAAGAGCCTCATTCTGAGGGCACCCTCGTTGGAACTGAAGGCCGTCTGGCAGAATCTGCTCCAGCGTCAGATGTAAGTTACTCAATTTTTGCTTTTTCTAAAAACCCTTCGAGTAATTTCCAAATGTACTTAGTTGTCTTACTTTCATATCAAATTTGTGTGCTTATTGTTTTTGTGACCGATTATGTTTGCTTAAAGCATTTGCCATACTCAATGACTTTTACAAGTTTTGTTTTCTATAACTGCTTAAGTGTAGTTTTTCCATAAGTTTTATATTTATATTTTTTAGCGTAGAGAGAGAGTAGTCACTTATGCCATAAATATTTCCTTAGATTTCTAGTAAATGCCGCTCTGGGCTCCACGCCTTTGTCCAGTCCCTTGGACTCGCCGGACGTCCTTAACACCCTGGTGCCGCTGAGCGATATCGGACTGACCACCGCCTCGATGGGATCGATGAAGCTGCCCTCGCTGGACAGCATCCACCTGAAGCAGCAGCAGAAACAGCAGGTGCGTCTCTTTCGCAGCAAGCGCTTGGACAGCGGTGATTCGTACGAGAATCTTCAGCGGCTGGCCAGTGCGGTGCGGCACCACTGTGCCAGCACCACCACGAGCAGCGCCACCCAGACGCAGTCGCATCCCCAGCCGCCCCTGTGCACCACCTCGCTGCCCTCGCGCACCACCTCGCCCGCCCGCAACCACCACCATCCGGGTCACCAAGGTCATGTGGGTGGTTCGGTGCCCAACGGAGTGGGTGGTGGTGGTGGTGGCGGGGGTTTGGGTTTGGGTGGCTCGTTTCTGAGCAGCAGCGCCAGCTTGATCCAGACCCAGTCGCAGGTCCACACCCAGACCCTCAACCATTCGCAGACCCACTCGCAGACCCAAACCTCCGTTCTGTCCCTGTCCAGTTGCAAGTGCCTGACGGCCATTCCGGAGGTGAGCAGTGAGCCAGCAGCCACGAACCCGGCACATCCCTCCCAGAAGCTCCTCGAGTTCAGCCTGAGTTCGGTGGGTCGGTCGTTTATCGATGAGTCCGGCGGAGTGGTCGGTGGTCAGGTGTCGTTGACGACGCCAGAGACGCCCACGCCCAATATTTCACCCACCACCTCGCAGCCCTGCAACTCGGATGCCTTCTCCAATGACTTTGTGGCCACGTCCACGAGTGGAAAGGCGGCGAACATACCGCTGGCTGAATTCGGGGGGTCCTGGGATCTGCTGGAGCTCGATCTCCAGCTGCACGAGGTCAATCTGGATCCCTGCTACGACACCGATGTGGAGGAGTGCATCTTCCTGGGCGACGAGGAGGAGAGGGAGGGCATCGAGGGCCAGGGACACGACGAGGACAGTGACGAGGACGACAGCGTGGTGGTGGACGATCCCTTCGGCATGCTACCCACCAGACCGACGCCGCCGGACTCGCTGGACCTGTGATTTGACTTCTGGCTGCAGTCAGACCCCCCCGTTAACAGCCCTTTGCCGCACAATCTTTGAATCTCGACGAGCTTACTCAACTATATTACCACTGATCTACCCAAGAACCTCTCAATATCTCTCTATATATATCCCGCTCAACCGCCGTTTTGCTCTGCTTTTGCCTCAGCTTTGGGCCAAGTTTCCCATACAGTCGAAACTCTTTCACTATAGTGGCATTTTCTCTTTGGCAGATTGGGGATTGACTTTGCCAGGATATCAGATTAAAAACAGAATAGTGAGATAAAACCGAGTGACACCCAAATAGCAAAGGAGATTAAAGAACGTATCGCCTGGATATTGAAACATTTTTGACATTTCGGAGGTGTCACGAACTTTAAAAACCACTAAAATGGATTGTTTATCGTCAACCGTTTTATGTGATTTCGTACCTTTGGGGATTTCTGTGGCACACCGTTCTCCTCAGGTAGAGAAAGTTATCCCGTTTGCGACGCTCCTTTAAATGTCAAAGCTTTTTAGATCCAGGCGATGCATTTGCCTTTAATTGACTCTAATTGCGAGTGAGAAGTGACAATTATCCGTGAATTGTACATAGACATATAACCATCGCTCTCTACGTGTATGTTTCTCTGTTGTGTATTGTATATACTCGTGTATTGACACCCATACCATATAACCCTGACCGTAAATGGTATTCGTTCCATCCAAGTCGATTTTGAATCGAGTGTAAATAGCAGAAAACCGTGAAGACGACAGCAGAGACGAAGATTCGATGACGATTGTATGTGTGTAACGCTAGTACTTAGCTCTTTTTAGTAATATATATATATGCGATTGAAACTTTTTTGCCAATCCATTGAGAAAACAAAAACAAAAACAAAAGAAACGAGAAAACCCAAATGAAATTATACTAATGTTAATATTGCTTCCATTTTGTAGCCAAATTGAAAACCTATTGATTATTGTTATTGCTGTTGTTATCCTACATTAGCCTAGTCCTAGTTTATCCCGACTTCCCCGAAATTCTCGACTCGGATCGGATCCTCCTCGTATGCTAAGTTGAACCATTAGCCAAATTTCTTGTAGACTCGCTCGATTACTCGATTTACCTAGTTAAGTTTAACTCGATTGGCCAGAACAAATTGAAATCAAAATCTAAATCAAAATCCAAGTTGTATATATACTACTTCCCTATATACAAACACCCGTATAAATTGTTACATAGTATCAGTATGTGTATCTTGCTCAGTCGGAGGACTTTTGGCTGGATGGCAAACCATATTTTCGACTTTATGTATCTGATCGATCTATCGACGTCAATTATCTATGACAAGCACTTTGTTGCCTTTGAAAGTCTATCCTCAAGCTAACCACATACATATATTTACGTATTAGTATATAAACCAGCACTCGATTGTCTTTGCACAGTGGGAAGAAGTGGAAGTAGTTTGTTTGAGTATTATTTCTAGATGTTTCCTAGACAACTTTTTAGCTTATACTTAGCTTTTTTTAAATTGTTGATAATATTATAACATATTAGTGATAAAAAGATTAGTTATCTTATTATGAAACCTAGAACTTATCATCCATTTCCAAAGTTTTAAAGTTGAACCACTTTTCTTAACCCTTTGCAACTTGGCCCACAGTGCGGATTCAGTTTTGTGCAGAAGCCATCCAGCCAGGAGTTTAAATGTAGCATACACACAGACACACAGACACCCACACACCCACACCAACAAAGCAACGCCCACACAGATACACTCGCACACACACCTGCACACAGACATCTATTGCAAATTTTAACTGATTGTTGAATATCAAGCATACGCCGCGTTGTATTTTGCGGTTCGGTTTTTGTGTGTGCCTTGAGCAGTAAACAACAAATTTCTATACATATACATACATACATATTTAGATTCATATTCTGTAAGCTTTATGTACGTCTAGAAGTTTTCGATTTATTGTTTTTCGACATTTTACATAACACGAGAGGATCGAAAATCGACTATCGATTTATCGAGCCGTTTGAGATTGAGATTGCGAAGAGAAACGATGAATTCAAATAATAATAAAAACCAAATGATTCTTTGACTAAAAACGCTTGTAATGTTCTTTTTATTTCACTTAAAAAAAAAAACACTAAGGAAAGAAAACCAAAAAAATGAAACCAACTAGAAACCCACCGAGCACTCACTGAATTACCATATAGCTCCGCATAAACAGATCCTGATCAAACCTGCGATTCAAGGAAAAAAGAAAAACAAAAATCTTTTTCAAACAAAGAGAAAAACAATCAAGAACCAAAATTGATAAATTAAAAATTGTGATGGACTCAATTTTAGTTTTAAGTTCAAATTGCTTCTTTCTATTCTCAAAACTGTTTTTTAACTTCCATTGCTTATTAGTTGTTTGTTGTGTGACTGTACCCGCTCCTGTTTACCGTTGTCTCGTGTCTTATATAATACATTTATCTTTTGCAAAATCCTTTAGTCCCTTTTAGCCCGAATTCCATTGTTATCCAAGAGCAAGCGTTTTTAATCAAAGATGGACTGAGATTTTTCTTTCCGTTCCGTTTCTCCGCTTCGCAAAAAAAGAGTTCTCTCAGCTAAAGTCAAAACCAACTGCAAAGCCAAAAGCAAAGCAAAAGCAAACGCAAGCACAAAGCAAGGCCCGAGCAAAGCTAAAGCAAAAGCAAAAGCAAAAAGCAAATGAGCCCATCACAAATTTTAATTTGCCAAACGATAGGCGGGTGGCAGTGGGTGGTGCTGGTGGTGCGGTGGTTAGAGCCCAAGCTCAAGGTCAAGATCAAGGTCCCCGGGTCCAGGTAACGTATTATTTACTTTATCTTTGCCGGATCTTTCCAGCAGCGCAACAACAATGCTCATGCCAACGCCCACTCCGCCGGAGGAGTGGCCACCGAAAGATCCGCAGATCGATCCCACGGCCACAGCCATGGAGTCCATGGTGGGCACGTGGAGCAGATCGAGCTGCTGATCGACGAGAAGTGCCGCATCCTGAACAAGACGGGCACCCCCAAGTCGAGTGCCCTGCACCTGGCCAACTGGATGAAGGGCCAGCTGGACAAGCAGCAGCAGCAGGCTCGACTGGCGGCCATTGCGCGATCGCAGGAGAATGTGAGCGCCGAGGACGAGCAGCTGATCTTCAACAGCGACAGCGAGCAGGACGAGCGGATCACCTACTGGACGCGTCAGCAGCTGGAGAAGCGCACCAAGGAGCTCAATCTGGCCAAGGAGAATGGCGGCCTGTCGGCGAAGCCCAACTTCGGAGGCAAACGGTTGAGCGGCGTCGAGGAGCTGAGCATGAGTGCCACCTCGGATATATACTCCACGTCGGAGGCGGAGGGCGTGACCAGCGTGATCAGTCAGTCGCACAGCACAACATCGGACAGCCAGGTAAGCTGGGGATTAGTTCGCTATTCGTTCGGCCCCAAAAGTATGCTATAAAGAACAGAAAACTTCAGTCAAAAGGACCTTTGGTACAAATAGTTTATTCTTTTGTAAACTTTGTGGGTAACAATATCAGAAGGATAACCCACGTTTCCATTTATCGATCCATGTTTTGCGTTTGATTATCCATTTAGTCTTTTCGGGAGTTAAAATCACATCAAATTTGATTCTTTTTGTTAATTGAGTAATCATCATGGTAAAACCTAACAGGGATGTTTATAGAAAAAATAAAGTCCTGCTTGTGCTCGTACCAGAATATGCTAACCCTGCTTTTTCGCCCCACCAACTTCTCCCTGTACGCTTTCTATTCCCGCCTGCCAGATCACCGTACGCTCGAGCCCCATTGTACTGGACAAGCTGGCCGTTTGCCGCCATTGCCACAAGAATTGCCAGCAAAGCGGACCGGGCGGAGCTCGTCCTGGCGGCGGAGGAGGAGTGAACAACTCCAGTTCCGCGCCCGTCCTGCTCTGCAATTCCCTGAAGGTGCAGCACAGCCAGTCCTCGCCGAATCGCTGTTGCAAACTGAACAATGGCATTGCGGGGGCCGCGGAATTGGTTAGCCCAAGAGGGGGCAATCGAACCGGAACCGGGACCGGAACAGGTAGCGTGACCAGCATGTCCAGTAGCACCATTACGGGGGAGCTGTCCTCCAAGGTGGTGGCCAGTAGCAGTCGCCGGGAAACCGGTGACACCGAAAGCGATGTGGCCCAACTGATAACCGACGAAATATCCCAATCCCAATCAGAGGCGACGGATGACAGCGTCGGTGCGATGCCCAACAGTAGTAGCAGTGCCGGCGAAGGCACGATCCCCCCAGCCAGCAGCGGCGTCTCCAAAGTACGTCATCTAGATCCTCCAGTCACAGTCACAGCATCACCCATGCCCAATGGTCACTGCTCCGCCGGCGGAGGTTCACCCAAGCCGCTGCCCCCACCACGTCGCACCCGCATTGTGGCCCAAATGTGCCAGGAGCCACTGAGGCCCAAGGCCAACCAGCAGGTCAAGGCCATTGTGACCATCACGGAGACGGCCAGGATAATGCGGAGCAGTCCAACGAAGGGATCGGGATCGGGATCGGGTTCGGTTAGTGGTAGTGTTGGTGCAGGTGGTTCCCCCGCCAAATTTGCCGCCTGCAATTGCCGCTGCACTCCGGAGGACTTTACGCACGCCCAACTCTCGCCGGACAAGATGGAGCACCAGACGTGCAAGCTACTGGAGTCGCCAAAGCAAACGGCCACCACACTGCAGCAGAAACAGGACGATGAGCAGTTGTCCCTGATGCTCATCGGTCTGGCCCAATTCGCCCCGGCCGCCAAACTTTGTGGACAGGAGAGGATCGTCAAGGAGGAGAGCGGTACACCCACGATAGCTGTGGTCCCACCCACTCCCGATTCGGTGCTCACCAAGACCAGCACTCATGTGTGGGACAACAGCGGTTGCTCCTCGAACGGTGGGGGAACCTCGACCACCAGCACCGCCACCACCACAACGAAGCAGCCCAGACAGGCCATCATTGAGAATATACCGGAGGATTCGTGTGATGAATCCCCCTTGGACGAGGAACCACCCTATCGACCCATGAGCAGTGCTCTCCGGCGATTTGGCACCATGTCTAGCCTAGAAAAACTACCCTCCGACGATCGAATGGACGAGGCTGACGAGCTGGAAGATGACTTGGAGCCCTATACACCGAATGGCCACGATGCAGATAGTCCCCAAAATGAGGAAGATGACGAAGATGCTGGTTCTGATCGAGCTTTGGTGCAGAACGTCAACGACTTGGGCGCCTCGACTTCATCGGGGGTAATGGTCAATGGCGAGGTCCTGGCCAGTGGAGCGTGGACAAATCGGGCAGGAGCCTATGTCTCTGACAAGATGTCCTTTTTCGAGGAGTCGCGGGCTTTCATAGACAAATACTTGGGTCGCTGGAATGCCGGCGACTCGCAACAGCAGCAACAGGGAAACGCTTCGGAGACGGATGAGCAGATGGACGAGTGCACCTCGGGAGCCACCAGTGGTGAAGAGGTTTGGGGCACGCCCACCAGTGGCGGGGATAACGACGATCAGGACATGCAGCTGATCAATTCGGAGAACACGCATTCGGTGAGTTTTTTGTTTACATTTTTAGTGGCTATTATTAATGAAGATAACATATATAGTCGCCCACCAAGTCGAGTACCTCTTTGAATGACGACGATGACACCGAACTGATGATGGACGAGCTGTTAATGGCGCCACCGATGACGGCCAGCACGATTCGAGGATTGCTGCCACGGTATGTAGGTTGCGAGGAGAAATTCCGGACTAGTTCGGCACTCCGAGAACCAAAGACACGACCCACCAATAATCACACACAGCTGGTAGAGAAACCATAGGCAGCCGATCTCTAACTGTAAACCAACCATTATAACGAGTATCTCGATATATATCTACCATATTTAGTATAGCTTAGTCTAGTGCCTCCATTGATCCTATTGTTAATAAGAATACGAATTTTCTTTTTTTCGTGTACTCCTTTGGAAACTTTCTTTTCGTAGCTTTTACAGGTGTTTATTCTTTCGTTTCCATTCGTTTCACACACTCACACACACACATTTATGTCACCCAATCCTAAATTCGATTCGAATCAGTGTCATATATTGTATTCCTATCTGTAACCTCTATATATATTAATAACTAGTTTTGCTCACTCATTTGCGGGCTAGTCCTAGACCTAGTCTTAGTCATATAGTCATAGTCAGGCCGAGAATGAGGGGAGGGGGGGTCATATCTTTGTAGCTTACTCCTCTATATTTACATATATCTACCAACCGTATTTACTTATAACTTCAACTAAGTTTTGCTCAATTCAAAATTGATATATCATTTATGCCATCGACACACAATCAACACATCGATCGACTATTGCTAAATTCCAATTGAAATTCGTTTGCATACGCCATACACACGTATTATCGAAATCGTATATCGTATATCGTATCCGTATATCGTATATCGACGTAGACGTCGCCTTGAGCCCCTTTTTGAGGAGGAGACGGAGAGCGACGAAGAGAAGACGCAGCAGGACAGCGATGACGTCAAAAAGGTGGGTCGTTATTACAGCAAATTCCAGACACACGCCCCAAAACCAAAAAAAGGCCACTGTGTTTCGTTCCAATCGAAATGCAACCGTGTTCAGTGCTCGCGTTCCGATCCAACTTTGCATTCCGCTGCATGGCAAACTACAGTGAACAGTGGGCAACTGTACCCAAGCACCCAAAAAGAGCGAGAGGGAGAGATAAATCCGCCCGACAGGGATTATCTCCCGTCTGCTATAAATCTCTAGATATAATCCACCTGCATGTAGCCCTAGTCACTCAATGAACTAACTTTTGAACTTACCTTGGTTTGTTTTTCTATTTTGTCTGTACTTTCATAAACCATCGACTGCAACTCGTTCATCTCCATCTTCATCGATCAATTAATCAATCTCAACCAATCAATCACGCTAACATGTTTTGACTTTGTATGTTAACTGTACTATTTTTGCCTGTCTGCTCATTGTGTTTTGTAAATCGTTGTTGCTAAATACAAATACTTGTACTTGCATAGAAGGTCGTAGTGAAATTAGTGAAGCTTTAGCCCATCCTGCAATACTGCGAGCTCATCAACATCACACGTCCGGACAGGATTGACGACCAACCACCACCTCCGAACTAACCCAATCGATCCGATCTCGCTGTCGAAATTCCGTACTGCAAACGAACCAACCGACCACCTCGACCACCACATCCTCATCCACATCCACATCAAAACGGCGCCAACCGCTAGCAGGAATCTCTTTCCCAACCAGAATTGATTAGTTGAATTCTATTCCCAACAATTGGTAGGGGGAAGCAACGACCAATGGCCACTACCTAGAGGATTCGGCTGGAAGTTCAAGCGACAGCGAGGCGGCGCCACCAGTCCCGCCACCAGCTCCTCGGCCAGTGGTGCCGGATCGGGAGGAGGATCCGTCGGCGGAGGACCTGCAGGAGGAGGACGATCCGGATGTGGCGGTGACGGAGGACCAGGAGGATACACACTCCAGCGTGGAGCGGCTGCATCCGAATCTGGCCACGAGTGCGATGGGGCCGCGTCCCTTACTCACCACCCGCCTCCTGCCCACCACGGCCATCGATCCTCAGCCGCCGGCGCCGGTAATGGTGGCCTCATCCTGCGAGTATCTGCTCGATCAGCGCCCCTCGAGCGGATCAGGACGCGAATTCGCCGCCGGGAGCAGCAGCTCCACGACGACGCCATCCTCTCGGCCGACGCCTCCTTCTCCGGCGAAGCCAGCAGTGATACTGATGCCGATGCCGACCGAGATGATGATGACGACGATGACGACGACGACGCCGAATCGAGCTCCCTCATCGATTACTACAATAACCAGCAGCGCGAGCGGCACTACGAACTCCGGCGGCAGAGCCAGCGGCAGGCCTCCGAGATTTGTGCCGCCGCCTCCGCCTCCACGTCGCTTGCTCCTCACGCAGACCGATCTAAGCGCTGCCCAGGGCAAAACGGTGAGTACCCAGTGCAAATATGGAATCCGACCTCTTTTAAATCAGATCTTAACCGGTTAAGCACTAGCATATGAAGCCACTTCTCGAAAATTTGGAAAGGGGTTTCTCGAAAAAAAAAAACTAAGATTTAAAAACAGATTTTTAGAGAACTAAACCACAATCATTTTAGAGTATGCCACTTTGAAATCGGATGTCGGTAAGAAAAGTTAGGGGCTTTGAAGTGCAGGATTTAGGTCACTTTTCTGCAAGCCCATTTTTCTAAAATTTGGAAAGGGGTTACATTGCTTAAAATGATGAAAATTCGACCCAAAAACAAAAAAAAAACTGGAAACACAGTTTTTTAGGGAATGAAAACACAATCATTTTAAAGTATGCCACTTTGAAATCCGATGTCCGTAACAAAAGTTATGGGCTAAGAAGTGCAGGTTTTAGGTCACTTTTCTGCATGCCCATTTTTCTAAAATTTGAAAAGAGGTTACATTGCTTAAAATTATGAAAAATCGACACAAAAAAAAAAAAAAAACTGAAAACACAGATTTTTAGAGAAATGGGCCACAATCATTTTAAAGAATGCCACTTTGAAATCCGATGTCCGTAACAAAAGTTATGGGCTAAGAAGTGCAGGTTTTAGGTCACTTTTCTGCATAGCCAGGTTCAAATTTTGGCAAATTCCCTTTTTTTTTACATTTTAAAAGGGCTTCAAGGCTAAAAATAATAAACCAGCTCAATTGTTCACTTTAAATTTTGTCCCGTACTGATCGCATTTTTAGGAGCCACCTCAAAGAAAATCTGGCGCTACTGCTGACAGTGGCTCCTCGGCGGTTGTCGGCGGCGCCGCCAGTGCTTCGGACCCAATCGCTACCGGGTCAAGGACAACGCCATCAACGCCGAGTACCAGCAGCTCGGCGGCGGCGGTGGGGGTGGGGGTGTTGCCAAAACGACCGTCGTCAACGATAATCGAGACCTGCCTGCTGGGGGCACCCAGGCCCGTCTCAGCCACTTCATCAGCAACAGTCTCGAGGACGGCAAAGCCGATCCGCCCGAGTCCCTCCACCACCCACCAGCAGCCATCGCAGCCGAGGGGGCAGAGCAGCCCAGCTGCAGTGGCTCCACCACCGCCGGCGGCACCGCCACCAGACGCACCCGCTGCCCCAGCGCTCCACGCTGGATGCGGTCTAAGCCCAAGGCTGGAAATGCGGCTGGCCCTCAACCACGATATCCTCGGGGACGAGGACTTGATCTGCTACGAGCCTGGTCCCGATCTAACAACTATTCTGGGGTGAGTTGGAAGGATGGAGGGGTTTTCAGGCGATGGGAGTTCAAAATCAGTAGAGCTCTTTTGCTATGTCCTTATTTTGTAAGGAATTTTTGTTGGTAAAGAAATAAAGCATTTCCCCTTTGCAGGCACGACCTCTCCACATTTCATCGTCTGACGGGTCGCGATTTATTGAGTCGTTCAGCCACGAACAGGGTGCAGCCAAAAGAGGCTGTCATATCGTACTCTCAACAACGCAACTCAAAGATGGACACGCCGACGGTGAACCGCCGGCCCCGCCCCCTCTCAGCGGGCGCCTTGAGCGGCACCACCACCAGCACCAACAACAATCACAGTCGCAGCAGCAGCAGCCACGGCAGCAGTCCGCTCGCCGGTGGTTTAACCCGTGCCGCCGCCGAGCAAGTGGGTCAACTGCAGCACCAGGTGGTGGTGGTGCAGCCAGGTGGTGGATCTGCTGGTCGAGTCGTCGGCGGGAACGGAAACGCCGGCGACAACAACACCGCCTGCAGCTCCAACAGAGGCGGGAGCAAATTAGGCGATCTGGAAATCTTAGCGAGACGCGAGAAGATATACTCCATGTCTCAATCGAGGAGTGGCTGTCGAGTCAGGGAGACGACATCCACATCCACAATGTCCACAACGACAACGACGACGACGAGCACGACCACTCTGGTGGCCATGGCTACGGAGATGCGTTCGGGGATGGATTCGGGGAGACGCGACTCTTCCTGGCCCAAACGAGCAGCTGCAGCAGCCTCTCTGACGAGGACGAGGAGTACTACTTCGATGGACGGAGCGGGAGCCATCAGTACCACAACCACAACAACAATGACTGAGGAGGCATTCCTCGAGACCGAAGTGGGCAGATCGAAGCGATTGTGAGTATAAGTTAGGAAATCTTCTAGATATTGAATAGAGTTTGAAATATAACGAAGAATTTTAAGTGAAAATGCTACCTAATAGTTGGAAAAATAAAATATAGAGAGAAGGACTATGAAAAAAATAAATATTACATATATATACATATGTTTATTAAATCTGCAAATTAAAAATCAATATCTCAGGAAACCGAATGCTTGCTTTCTATATTTTAAATACTGATATAAGAAGTTAAGAGAAAAACTGATCCAAATATTATAGTGTTTAATGCTTAAAGGCGTATTATGAGAGCAACAAATTAACAAAAATGTATAATTTAACTGCAGAATAAACTTCATAAAGCGCCGCAACTCTGAGATAACCGCCAGTAGCACCAGCAGCACTCCCAACTTCTCCGACGGCGCCTTTGGCGAACAGCCCCATCCGAGCCACAGCCAAAGCAGTCTTCTTCTCCAGAAGCTGTCGCCGGGTCAGACGCAGGCTCAGGATTCAGTGGAGATGGCCCAGATGTCGCCGCGCAAGGATAACGTAAGCAGGCTATGAGTACTTTAAGAGAGCAGTAATCTTCTAATACAAGGCTATTTTTGTTGGTTCCAGGACAAGCCATCACTGAACCGACGCCTGTGGAAGCAGATCACCAAACGCCGACGCACCAACTCCGTGTCCCAAATAGTCGCAGGCTAGGGAATCACCACTTTTCGCCTCTGTTACTGTTACTAACTGTGTTCTGTGGGTAGATTTTAGCTAAGCATCTCAAGAGCATCGATTAGCGATGATCAATGATCGATGATCGATAACCATTTGCACGGGACAGCCCGTCGATAGGCAGTAATCAACTGTAACCATATCACGGTGATCTTAACGGGCTGTCCCACCGAAAGAACTGGCAAAATGCAAAACCAAACACTTAGTAGTACGTTAAGTTTTTTGATACGACTTTGTAGCTAGCGAATCCCCGGATCGCAACGATCTCGGGCAGCTCTAGGCGTCCAATTGCGTCCAAAAACGATAAGCGATAAACGATAAACGATAAAACGATTAATATCGATTCTCCTGCCAGTAGAGCCAAGGAACCGAGTCCCAGCCAAATAATATATAGACAACGAATGGCAGTCAGTTGGTAATACTGGGCACACTCACTCACTCCAAAATAGGCAAAACAGACATTTTAGACATTAAAAACATAACACATAACACTTGCAGTCCAGCCAAATGAATTAGGATCTAGAGGAGTTCGTACACTCACTATTTTTTAGAGATCATAATTATGTCTTAAAGCTTAGCAGTTTCGGGTTTTTGTTGCGGGATTGAGACAGTGAAATTGCCTTACGTATCCAATGAACTATTGTATGGGTAGCTTAACGTAGTAGTCTTTATACACATAACATTTACAGCCTCAGCAGTTCGTAGTAGTCAGTCGTTAGTTGTCGGTCGTAATACAATTTTTAGTACTTAAATTCCACGTTTTTCTCAACTATTTACAAACGGTAATTTTGCATCAGTTAGATCTTATATATATATATAAATATATAGGGAAACTTGGTAGTTCATTTCACATTGAAATTGATATTGGAATTGGAATCGGAATCGAGGAATAGCACGAAAATTGTTGAAAGCTAACAAATTATACGAATTAATAACAAACGATCAAGTACATTTATTAGCTTTAATAGAAAATCTAATATATATACATGGATCTAAATAGTTCTAGTTATAGTTATATAATTGACATATATGAAATACTTTTGAATAGTGAGTACGCGATCGAGTTATTAGGCATTTATCACTCGCATTCACTCAAGGCATTCATTGATCCAGCACCGTTTACACCACGTGAGATATTAAGTACTTTACTTTGTAAACTCACACACACACAATGGATTTTATGTATATGGCTACAGAGGTATGCATTACATCTACGCCATGCATTAATTTTTTTGGTCGAAATTTGTATTTTATCAGAGTAGTTGGGTGCCGAAATGAATTTCTCTTGAAATTCGATAAGAAATTCAATTATTTAAAGAACAAATTCCGAAGACAAGCATCTACATAAAATTAATATACAATAAATCAAAATCGAATGCATCACCATTGTGTTTTTTGTATTTCATTCCCTGGGAGAACCTATATATATTAACATTCGTATACTTCTAGCTTGTGAAGGCAAAGCTTCCAACGTGATCAACAGCTGAAATTCAACTGAGAACCGCGTGTATTAATAAACGCAGTTTGTAATACCCTTTCCGATTTTAGATTTTATTCCCGCACTTTAAAAATAACAATTACATCTTGCTATTTAACTTTAATTCTGATCATGTATACTTTATTTTATAATTTTCATAAAATAAACTTAAATGAATATCTTTGAATAGATATTTTAATTTGTTTTAGACGCATTTTTTTTCTATTTTTTTTTTTTTATTGGTGATTTCATAGCTCTTGAAACTTTTTTTTTTTTTGATAACCTCATAGCTCCTGGAACTTCTTCAATAAAATTAGCTATTTTCCCCGATTCAAAGTTCTGGGTGCAAGGGGAGTACCCTTTGTTGGGGAGGGTGCTCCTACAAAAAATGTTGGTCAAATTAATTGTAATTCCCGTGGAGCTGGGTAGCTGGGTAGCTGGGTTGGGCTGCTCGTGGGCTCCGTGTGCGTGCGCCCGGTTAATGCACATTCCCAAGATCGCGGGATGGGGAGGTGGTGAGGTGGGTTTTCGGGGGGTGGATGGGTGGTGGTGGTGGAGCGGCCGAACAGTTCAGCTCTCCCTCTCTTCGCCGTCAGCTGGTGACCGCCGCTGCTACCGAGCTACTGAGCAACTGCAGCTGAGCCTCAGTCAGCTTTCAGCTGAGCGCTTCAGTCGAGAAACGAGTTTCATGCCGAACGGACGCTTGCGCTGCGTCGATTTCTCGCGGTAGGAAAACTGGGGAAAGAATTCGCCAACTTTTGTTTATTTACATACGTTACATGGCTTTTTAATTGGCTACGCGCGAGAGTGTACGAAGTGTTCGAGTGTGTGCAAAATAATTTGCTTTATTTTTTACATTTTTTTTTTACGTTCACAAGTGCCTACCGAAAAAAAAAGATATAACCAAAAAAATAAAAATAGAAGAAAGATAGAAAAAGAGAGTGTGTGAGAGTGTGTTAACCTGAGTACAGGCATTATGGACCGATGCATGTGAACTGACAGGAAATAGAGCGCTATTAAGCCAACAGCACATCACATCACATCACACATCAAAAGGCAGTTAGAACCATGGAAAGACGCGGCCCAAACAGATTTGCTAATTGAGGTCGTTGTCTAGGTAAGTTGTCAGTTTCTTCTGGTTTCCGTTTTGCAGCAGCTCTGAAAAATTCACTTACGACCACTGCAACACTAGCAGAAATAATACCACCAACTAACAACGATCTCCGATCGGCAGATAAAGCTCAAAAACGGTAAATTATGCCGGTGTGCTGGGGGCAAAAAACTCTCCTGGGCTGCAAAATTCACACGTTGCACAGTGGGGCAAAGGATGTTGATTATTAAGGTACAAGGAACAGATATATGTTTCAAAATTTGTCCACCTTAGGAAGAGTGTACTTTATGCTATACTTTTCTTTCTTTTCTTAAAAAGTTCACACGTTCCACTGTTAAATTTCCTGTTAATGATACGTGCTTCTTACAGCTGAGCTCTAGATATATATAAAGATGTCTATTCGATCAGTCGTCTCCGTTAGTTTCTCCGACCGCTTGCGATTCTAGTTTTATTCTGTTTCGATAATTCATGAAAAGTATTGCTTTCTTTCCTTATAACATTTAATAGTAGAACACAACTAAACTATGAAAAAGCTAAATATTCCAAAAAACTAATTATTAAAATGTTGTGAAACTAAAAACACATTCTCATTGATTTGATTATGTTTTATAGTCAAAAAAGTATAATGTTTTGTTAAGATCGAACCCACAGCATGTGGTTTCACCTGTATATACTTTTCTTTTGTGGCTGGGAAATTGCCCCATCTTTAAGTGCTGTGGCCCCAGGGTGCCCTGCAAAAGCGGAAAATCAAAATGACAGATAGTCGGACTTCGTCAGAAGAAAAAGCGACTGAGTCAGCAGTGAAAGCAGCGGATCGGATTGGATTGGGTTGGATTGGATCGAAAGCTCGTTCGATCTCGAATCCACTTCCTCGTTGCCGAACCTTGGAGATCTGAAGATCTGCGGGGTGAGAACTAGAATGCCATGCCATCGTAGGCCCGGCTCTGATAATATAATTATCCAAACGAGCAGGCGGCCACATAACTGAGCGGCAATCAATGGTTTATGGCCATAATGATGCTGGCGCGATCGGCGATGAAAACCACAGCGGAAACGGCATTATCGCGGCTTTCAACTATCGATCAAAAAATCAGGCAGCTATGTAAGGTCGAAGCACGGCGGCTAAATGCATATTAAGTAATTTCCAGCAAGTGAGAAACTAAAAAAAACGAGATAAAACGTAAATAGATACTTGTACGGCTCTATTTAGCGCATGTTTCCTTTTGGAAAACATTCGCAGCATGTTTTTATGTTTTTTTTTATTTGGTTCCGCTAAGGCAAATGGCAAGTGCAAAAATTTGTTGCGAAAATTGATTAACATCAAACTGGTTAGGCGATGGAGATAGAGATGGATACGTTTTGAGCACCCTCCTCTGACCATAAACTCGCAAATTTATGAAATTGCTGGTCAAAAGTTTTTAATTGAATCTCACGTAAAAAGTAAAAAACATAAAAAAAGTAAAACTGGGAAAAAATCAAATAAAAAGCAACGCAAACAAAAACGCGGCGACAAAGACAACAAACGCTGATGATGATGATTGGGACATGAAGCTCGGAACTGCTGAATTTTTTGTTTTTTTTTTCTTTCGTATTTGTATATTTGTTGTATTTCTTTTTTTAATTTTTAATGTACACATACATAGGGGGTTTATTATTTGGCAACTTTTGCCCAAGACTTTTCACTGAGAAACCGAACTCGGCGATCAACTGATAAACTGGTTTCACAGTTTATTGAATTTTATACAACATTTGCATCGCTCCAGCCGCCGAACAATAAACAATTTCAATGAGAAAACAAAAAGATGGTCTCTCGTTGAGTTTGCCCAAGGTATTTGACCCACCAGAGTGAGGCAGTAAAATCAGTAGTAGAATTGTTCTCATTCGCTTTCAGATTCATATTCTGATTCTGATTCTGATTCTCACCGCCACGCAATAAGCAATAAGCTCGGGGACACAGCACAAAACCCCTCCCAAAAAAGCGAAAAAGTGTCAGCAGCAGCTGCCTCGCAAGGGGCTTAAATACCCAGCGAGATGTTGAATGCGAACAAAAGATAATCAAATAACGTCTGGGGTTACCATTCACTCAAGGAATCTGCGCCGTATTGCCCTTCCGATTCAGATCACTCGCTTTGGCCCCCCTCCCCCTCCCCCTCCAAAAAATCCCCCGTTGGGCGCCATTTCTTTATCCCACTTTTTGTACCTGTCACTCTGCCGCGCGCTCCTCTCACTTTCGTTCGATTTTGGGCAACCCGCGTGATGAAGGGCCTTTCTAAATCTTTAATGGCCAGTCGCCGTCGATGATCCCCTTTTACCTTTGATACTGGGAATTCTGTGTAATGCGTTGTGTACACAAAACTGCTCATGCTGCGGAACAGATGCGGGAAAGATAATATGACTGAAGGTTTGATCGTTATCCGACTAGGATTTTTACTTTTTATTGGAGTTTACGAGGTAAATAAGTTGTCATTAAGAACTATTAGGAGTTTTATCATCATAGGTTCTTTAATCGAATATATTTTTATAATAGATAATACAACAACATTGGAAAAAGATAAGAAATAATTTTAGACATATTAAATAAATGTAAAATATAAAATGAATATTAAATGTACATAAAATGTAGGAAAATTAAAGATAAATAAGTACAACAATTCACTTCTATTTTTTAAGTGTACAATCCGAGTAATTTGAAAATTGAAACTAATTTATTGAAATGTTATGTACACAAAAATAAGGTATCAAGGTATAAAAGAGTTCCTAGCTTTCGTAACTCCCCGACTTCAACCTCATCTGGTGTCTTTGGATCAGGCGTTTGCCCAAAGACTTCCTCTATGATCTATGGCTATCATGTAATGCCTCTGTCAGGGGGTACTTGAACTTCCATTCTCCATTCTCCGTTCTCGATTCTCCATTCTCCAACTGACGCTCCGCTGGCGACGCTCGCCGAACAATGGAGTTCTTGTTGCTGCTGGATTTCTACTATTTTTGTTCTACAGCCCCACCATATCCCGCTCCCTTTGCATTGTCTATGTAATCCATGGGGCACAGAGCCCATACATAGTAATTAGAATCATGCACGAGCATACCTTTGGCTGCCTGTATCTGTAACTATGTATCTATGTATCTAGTGTTCAGAGTTCGCTGACTGTGACTTTAACCGTTGGCGTCTGCGCCTCAGTCGTTAATTTAGGCTCCGGTAATTATGAGCGACAGAAGCGGATCATTTCCCCCGAAAGCAAATCGAGTCGAAGAATTTGATTCGGGATTGGAGATAGCCAACTCTGCTGTTCTATGCTATTAATCACTGGAGTCGGTCAGTTGAAAATTCAATTTCGTGGCCACAAAAGTCGACAAATTAACGTCTTTTTAATTGCTCGTGCTGTTGCTGTTGGTGTTGCTTTTGCCTGTGCCTTTTGCTTTTGCCACGACAAAACATTCAACAAACAAAAACAACAGCAAGACCAACAATGGCCAATTGTCATGTGAAGTCGTTGAACTCAAGAGCCCCCAACAACCAGCGTTTATTTTCCCCCCTTTTTCCGACCGAGCTTGATGTGTTTTTATTTTTTATTTTTTTTTTGTGGTTTATCTGTCTTGGTGTTAAGAGCCGGGGACATCACAGTTATACAACAGATCAGCTGCTGATCCATCATTTTACCCCTCCAGTAAATTGTGAAACAAAAGCTGCAGTTTGCCATTGGTAAAACAAAACCAACCGAAATAAATGTACAAAAAGAGCAGCATTTGACTGGGCATGACCTTGACAAGGGCAGCCGCTCAGTAAACGTGTTTGCTCTCTAAGCAAACCGGTATGCTCCCATCATCCCCTTCACTTCCCCCCTGCGAAGCGCTGATATTTTAGACTTTGGTGACGCTTCAAAGATTTTCCAAAGCTAAAATTGTCACACGAAAAAAATGGGCGAGCAAACAGGCAGAATTTTTACCACGTGCCAAAGGGGGAAAATTCAAGCAAGAGCAAAAAGCAGACTTGCAACAAAGCAGACTTGCAACAAACCATCCAAGCAAAGCTGAACAGATGGGATGGAATTAAACACTCTCAAATAGGCAGGCAAGCATGAATTAACCAATAAACAAACATTTATTTGAAGGAAATAATGGACTTTTAATCAAGCTTCTTTGCCTAAACATCATAAATTTTAGCTTTGGGAGCCTAAATACAATTTAAAATCTTGCTTTGCAAATAACAAAATTTTCCTTTGCCAATAACAAGTTATTTTTTCTATCACGAGTCAATTTTAGTGGCCATCTTAATGACTAAGCTATATAATTTTATGTGAGCCTTAAGGTTAGAAAACGTCAGCTTACTATATTGAATAATCATTAAGAGATATTTAACAAAAATAAAGATCAGGAGCAAACTTGCTCAAATAAATTAGATTACATTCACTTTGATTAGTAAAACAGATACATTTTTACAGCTCTAAATTCCTCACAGCTCTTAAACAGTGCAATAAATTGGCCAAATAAATGAAACTGATTGCAGGGTACAACACTCAATAGCACTAGACCTAAGGAATTCAGTGCTATTGGTTTGCCCACAGCTGTGTGCATATGTGCTTGTCTAACAATTGCAGTTGATTTCTTGCCGCTTCTCGTTTTTCCTTTTCCTTTTCAATTGCAATTCGACTCAATTGTGCCGAGTACGAAAGCGTGAAAAACTCGACGGATCCAACCAGTAATAATGGGAGTTGACCGGCCACTGACCACTGGATTGTATTGGCTTTTATTGGATCCATTGGACGACGTTTTGGAAAAGGCAGTGTTGAAATTAGCCCGAAATTGGGTTTTTATTTGAACTTGAAATGAGCGGTGGCAATATGTCTTACAGGTCGGGGGCCTCCAAATCACCGAACCATGATTTCTTTCGCCAGGCGGGACTTGCATAATTTTATATTTTTACCTTTCTGCCTTTGTTTACTTTGATTTGTGTTATTACTTAATTGCTTTGAACCTGAAAACAGCTGACGAAAATAAAACAATAAACT